AGGGTTTTGGCCCAACATTGTGTCTGAAAAATGTACATGAGCAAGTACAAGTGCTCTCCTATGGCAGGTGCTCTCCTACTAGATATCAAAAGTGAGTAATACATCATGAAGATTTTCTTCTAGACCTAAAACAAATAATGTRAAAACAATTTAGGATCTCATGTCTTTATGCTTTAAATCTGATTGTTGTAGAGGAAAGCTGATATAATGTCCTGAGCACCCTGCAGACTAAGAAACTAGCAAGCAAATGAAAGAAGCACAGAACTRTTAGTGCGACTGTTCTTGTTTCTGCTATTAGGTAGGGAGAGGAAAAAAAAACCTTCACTTTTTTCAGCTTGTCCTGTTGTTTTTAGTCTGATCTCAGTGTATTTGAATGCCTGACCAAAATRCACATCAGTGCCTCCTGCTTTACACTTCAACGAGCAATGTTTCCCCAGCTTATCTGTACTTTTCCCTCAGTGTAACAATCCTCCTTGTTATTGTGGTGCCAACTTACAAGTCCTGGGAAGGAAGTTCAAAGCAATTTATGTGGCAAAACCTCAAAGACAAAGTTCATCAAAACTTTCAAAAGTTTCCTCTTTGTCACACATGGCTCCACTCTTCAGGATCATGTGGTGACAAACGGTGCATCTGCCACCCTGCACTGCTCTCACACTCTGCAGACTGAAGTAATTTGGTGATAAGTGAAACACAATGTCTTGCAGAGTAAATCCATTTAATCTCAGGGTTTTGTTTTTCACCCAAGGCTTCAAGTTATGCTCATGACTATGTTGCCTTAAGCAATTCTGGCTCCCACAYGCTCCTGTTCTTGGGCCAGCAAAACATTTCTTAGAGTAGCCTGAGGCTACACCACAGACCTTCCACTGAGGAGCTGTCAAGAGATGCCTCCACCAGGGAGAAGATACATGGAACAAGGTTTATGAAGCAGGTTAGAGCAAGAAATGTAAGGAGCAACAAAATAAAGAAGATTCTGAACACCTTTTTTTTCTTTCTTTTTTTTTTTTTTTTTTTTTTTTTTTTTTTTTTTTTTTTTTTTTTTTTTTTTTTTTTTTAATGTGGAAGTCCTCCTCTTCACATCTAAAGCTGGCTGGAAAAAAAAAATAAAAGTCTAAGTATGAAATCTGTTTGAGCACTGACATAATACAAGTTCTAATGAGACTCTGTGATATAATGAGATAATTTATTAACAGCCCAGGGAACCAAGGAACCCCCATGCCTTAGAGAGGGACAGCAACAGCTCCTGCCAGCAATGACCAACATGAGAAAATTTCCCCCTAGTCCCAAGCTGGACCATGGGTACCATGGGTACCATGGGTGTCTGTGGGGGAAAAGGGCCCCACAAGCCYTGATTCTGAAACTCATCCAATTATTGTGTATGACTGAGGCCTGGGGAAAAAAAGGGATGTTAACTGCCCACATGAAGGAGGAATGCTGCATCCTTGAGAAAAGCAGATTGGAATGCAGAATTGATAACGCAGGTGGCTGAAAATTGTAAGCATTACTAATACTATAGCTTTTGCAATCTCACCAATTATGTTCTGATTACTAATTAAACAGCTGTCTCTTGACGGATGTATGTTTGACACAAATGTGTACTCTGGTTGTTAAAGTGGATAGAAGAGGCTTGTCCCACAATAAAGTTCTTCTTTCTTTCTGTTTTTTCACCCACTTTTGTGTGTTCTGTATCTATTCTTTTCTGTCGTTGTTTGGCCAGCAGTGACAGGTGTCTGAGCAGGACACACCAGCTGAGCTCCTCAAACACAAGGATGYCTGTATCCTCCAGCCATCAGTGCACACGTCCTGTCTCCAGTGCTGCACACTGGGATGTTTCTGGGATCCGCTCCTCCTGTCTCTCACAGACACTCTGGGAGTTCTCTGAACTTCAGCATTTGAAAAGTGTGGATGRTAGAAGGAAGGGATTTATCCACTTCATCCTTCTAAACAGATACTGATAGGAGATTTAAGTTTAGTGTGTATRCAGAAGCCTTTTGCATTATTTGGAGGCAAAGCAGAATCAAAACAAACTTTTGTGTTCCCAGGAGGAAAAAAACCATGAGTGAAAAARCAATAAGAGACAAAGATAGATTCTAACCTGTGGATGGTTTGCCTGGCTGGTCAATAGCTGCAATAGAAATGACAATCCAAGGAAGCACTGGAAGATAGGCAGAGCTCAGCAGAAAGTGCTGAGGGGCTAGGACACTGTGTGGATGCTGTACAGACACTGTGTGGACAGGACAGAGCTACTCACCACAGGGCACTGAAAAAACTCCTTTGCACTCTCATGGGGGTTGCAGCCTGGAGTTTGTTAATGGCTAAAAGTGTAAGAGGGCCTAGGATGATTCAGAAGCTCCTAAACAGAGTGCTGGGATCCRAAGAGAGCTGTCACACCAATGAAGGAGATGTATATGGTGCTGGACCTTCAAAACCTATCTTTCAAACTGGAGGGCTTTTTGTTGTGGGTTGTTTTTGTTGTCGTTGGTTTGGTTTGGTTTTCTGTGGAACCTTCAGCTAGGAGGCAGAAGCAGTGCAAATTTACTGCAAATGAAAAGGAATCCAGCTTTCTTTTAGCCTCTCCTGGGCACTAACTCTTCAGCTGTCCCAAGATTTAGACTCACAGATTTAATTTCCTATGCCCCAGACTTTAGAGGATGGCAACAAGGCGAGACGAATAGACTCAAATATCTCCTAGAAACCACACAGCCTCTGAAGCAGAGGTGCAGACGTAAAACAAAATGTACTTTTGCTTCAGGGTTTTCTCGATAATGGGGCTTTTTTCTTTTCATTGTGGTCCCTCATTTCCCCACCCAGACAAAATGCAGCCATGACAACATGGAAATCCCCTGAGCAGCACAGCTCTGATAATAAGATTGTTCATGTTCAACGAAAATATTATGTCTGAAAAGACTTTTTCTTTTAGTTTGCTCCAGCTGAAACAGGAAAAAAGAAAAAAAAAGATCAAAGTGATAGCCCACTCAATTATAAACAAGACAAATTTAAAGTGAGAAGGTGTCATTTCTGAGTAGTGATCAATTTGCACAGAAGAGCCTTGCTTTAATGAAATTTCTGGCTGAAAATGAGGTAGAAATTACCTTGAGGGTTTCTAGAACAATATGATAAGGAAGATTATTAAGAAAGGTGTTGAAATTCTCAATCTCTTCTAAAGMAAGCAAAGGGTATGCCTTAGGGATGAAAAGGCACCACAAATTGAAGACTGGCTGCAATGTACTTTGGTCAAGCATAGGAAACTTAGGCATGAGAGATGAGGATAAATTACTGCTGAAATCCCACCAGCTGACTCAGAAAGAGGGAATTTCCTCAAGGGACACCGCATGAGCACTGTGACTCAAACAGTTCTGTAAAAGAAGTKAAGCTCTTGAGCAAGAGGCAGTCAGGCCATGGTGGTGCCACCTCCAGTGCATCACGTCCAGCTCCTGCTCCGTGTGGATGGGCACAGAAATGACACCTGGACTGACCACTGCCCCTTGCCTGGGGCAGCAAGAGACACTGCAGCACAGTCCCTCATGTCCTGGAGAGAAGGACACTTTTCTAGCTGKGGGACCTGAGCTTTCATCACCTCGGTGAGCACTCTGAATAATCTCCTTGCAAATGCAAGAGCTGATGTGGATTCCATATCAAATCTCCTTATTACAGAGTCATCATTTCTCGGTTCTCTTGGGCATTGTTACCAACTTTGGCCCCCTGTTTCTTTACACCTCCAGCCTGAAGCTTTTTTTGGTGCAGCCAGGGCTGTGTCAGAGCTTTCTCTTGTGTTTCAGGTCTTCAGCTCACCTGAAGTTACCCACATCAGTCAGCCCTGCACACAGCCCTGCTTCACCCTCCCGTGTGCCTCAGTGCATTCAGCCACAGAAAGGGTGCACAGGAAATATTTAACACCTCTTTATCTTTTGCTTTCCATCTTTGCTTTGTCCAAAGCCTGAAAAAAATGTGTGAGATGCACCACTTTGCTCTCAGGAGCCCGTTTTTTCAGGATGAGTCTTTCAGGTCACAGGTTTTCTGGGCCAGCATTACCTTATTCAGGAGTTCATGGAATCACAGTAGGTTTGGGGCTGAAAGGGGCCTTTGAAGATCACCTTGTTCCCTGCCCCTGCCATGGACAGGGAAACCTTCCACTAGACCACATCACTCAAAGCTCCTGGCCTGGAATTGAACACTTTCAGTGAAGAGGCAGCCACAGCTGCTCTGGGCAACTCATGCCAGAGTCTCACCACCTTCACAGGGAAGAATTTCTTCTCTATGTCCAATCTAAATCCACTTTCTCTTAATTTAAAAATATTGCCCCTTTTCCTGCCACTTTAGGTCTTGGTAAATAATTTGTCTCCATCTTTCCTATAAGCATCCKTTACATACTGAAAGGCCATGATAAAGTCTCCCCAGAGTCTTCTCCTCTCTGGGCTGTCAACCTGTCTATGCAGGAAATATGTTCCATCCAGCCCTCTCTTCATCCCACTGGCTTCCTCTGGACACACTAYAACATGTCTGTGTCCTTCTTTTGTTGGGGCTGAATGGAATGCTCCAGGTAGGCTCTCACAACACTGAAGAATCACCTGCTGGAATGCTGCTTTGTTGTTGGTAGCTAAATARAAAACAAAAGCAATCAAACTTAATGCTTTACATCTGGAAGATTTTTCTTCCTTGGACCTGTGTGGGACCTCCCTATTGGGACCAAACCAGATGCCAGGACTAAAGCATTCTTTCAGGGAGCCCAGGAGCACAAATCACACGAGTGGAGTCAGAAGCACTGTCCACAAAAATGCTCCGTTTCCCGCTGGACTTCACCAGGTTTGCCCAAATGAGTGGGCAGGCTTGATCCAGAGCACGCTCAGCTCTCAGGCTGGAAGCTGTTTCACAGTAAAAGCTCAGCAATTATCTTGGCCCTGGCTTCCTGCCCGCTGCCACCAGCCCCGCTGTGCGTAGGCATGTTTACATTTCCCCTCCGAGGTCCCGCTGGCAGGGGCCGGCTATAAAGGGTTTGGCACACACCCCCAGTGCACACATGCAGCGTGCTCAGGATGACACAGCCCAGTGCCGTACTGAGCATTTTCGCCATGTTCCTGCACACCACTTTTGGGGAAAGTGGTTGCACCTCAGCAGACGGTGATGGTGAGTCATTTCATCTTCATCTTTCCGCTCACRTATGATCTCGAAAAACCTCGGTTAGGAGCTCCAAAATGCAGCTATCTGGTCAAATACTTTCATGTTTTGGCTTCCAGTCTCTCTTTAGTGCCAGTGCCTGAGGTGGAGATGAGGGATACCTATTTAATGYAATCCCCAAATCTGCTGTCCCTATGGCATTCAAATCCATATGAAATAAGGGAGACCAGACCTGTTAATCCCTGTTGTAATTAGTGTTCAGGTGAGAGGCTGTGGGTGGGAACAGGGAGCCACTTCACCCTTCTGCATGGTCCATGGTCACACTGAGCTGCCAGTAGAAATGGGTGAAGTTCTGGCTTCTCTTGCTCTTGCCAGTCTCCTCCAAATTAAATGTTTAGCTGTAACTCAAACTTGGCCCAAATTGTTCCACTTCAAAAACCTTTTATATTGCCTTTAAGCAGTTCCATCAGMTGTCTCTGGGAAATAGTCCCAGTCTCCCTGGTAGCATGGCAGATGMAGCAATTTAGACTGGGGATTCTCACACCTCATCATTGACAGCATTCATCCCCTACCCAGAAAATAATTATAAAATTTCAACAGTTTAAATTTAGTTTTATTCTAGATTTTATGATCTCATTTAGAGAAGTGAAAATTATAGCAGCATCAAGATCAAATATGAAAACATAATAAGCAGCAATAAACCCACAGTTTCAAGCTGCTGYTCCTTTTCTCAACAGGGAGATGAAAAATTTGATTTAGAGATTCAGTCACAGATCTGCTAATTTGTCTGATACTAAACAAACAGCAGTGACAAGAGTTAGTGCACTATGCCTGAAGGACTACCACTCAGTTATTGGTTGTTTAAGGCTCCATTGTTTGGGGGAATAGAGGGTTTTCGGGTTTTAGGGTGAAAATGATTGTGTTCTTATGCCATCTCTCAGGGAGAATCTCATTTTCCCCTGGGTGTTATGTATTGTAACAAGTGTTTTAGACAGCTGTACATGCATCCGTGTGTACACAGAYGGGATAAGCATTTTTTGATTAAAAGGAAACAGGGACTGGTTCAGAACTGCATCTAACCACTCCGGGGTTTTATTTGACATTTAKTCATACAACTGGCAGCTGTTTAGAGATAGCTTTGGAAAGCAGCTCTGGTGACGAATGTTCAATGCTAGTGATTTATTATTGGTGTCACTGAAATCTTCAGGGCTTCCCAAAACCAGATATGATCAGACCTTTGCTTGTTCTGTCACTAATGCGAGTAAATAATTATTTCCTTAGACCTAAAGACAAACAGATTCAGAAAATCCCCACTGAGCAATTAGCAGCTTTTATGATTTCTTTATGAATCTCCTGGGCTTGGCCAACAAAGAAAGGAATCCAGGGTAAAACCACCCATGATGGACGTGGGACTTTTCACTCTTCGCCTCTCTGACTCGTCCTGCCCCCTGACAAAGTGGAGGCGTGAAGTTGTCCTCACGGGCACTTGCCTCTATCCCTTCCTCCCTTTCTGAGCAGCAGACTGTCCCCCAGTTGCTGTCCCCTAGCCTGACAGAGGTGGTGGAGATCCCCAGAAGCCCTCAGAGAGCTGCAGGCAGAGCTAAGAAGGGGCAGGTAGGGAGATGGGCACGGGAGGCTGTGGGGTGTCATGGACAGGACAGCTTCAGTGGTCCTCCTACTTGTATGGTTTGTCCAACCCATACCTAAACTGCTGTGACTAAAACAGATTCTGCCTGAATCACAGCAGTGCTGGAGGTCTCACAGTGCCTGTCCATGGAGACAGGCAGTGCTTGGCTGTCCCTTGGTGTCACATGTTGTCATCAGTACAGCAGCTTTAGAGCATGAAGCTGAAGCGTGTCCTYAGCCCCTATAAAACTCTCCTCTTTGTAAAGGCTCCTGAGATTCCTGCTGTGGTTTGAACCCTCCTGYTGGATGTTGTCCAAACCCAAGACAGAACCATTTCAGAGCAGGACCTGCCATGCCTGTAGCTATGAGAGCAGTTTTTATGCCACTTTAGAATCTCTCCCTCCCAAACCCTGCCTTGAATTCAGCAGAGACAGGTTCATGGCTCTGTCTGGCTCGAGCTTCTCAAGGCAAATATTACAATAGTCTTGCAAATTTTTAATTGACTGAAGAGTTCTTAGCAATATGAGTCATGCCAGACTCACCAAAAGCATTCACAYGGCAAACACATTTGTGTGTGATGGTTCTGAGGTTTAGGGCAGAAGTGAGATTGAGGCTACGTGCATACTTATGTCAGACAAAAAAATTAGTCAKCCCATGGAAAAACCATAGCAGAAATGACATTTCAAGTTACTTAACGCTGTTCCTGCAATTTAATTATCARGTGTTCCATGGTTATAATGTTATTTCAATGAACAAAGAACCATATAATCACAATGTGAAAGTTCAGTGTCTAAGAGATAAAGTCAGCTTTCCTTCCAGAGTGGCACCAGAGCTGAACTGTATTGATTAAACATTAAATGGCTGTTTGAACAGCAAGACTAAGCCTTTTCTTTCTGTTGATTTTATAACTGGACTGATAGAGAACTAATTCAAATTTCTGTAACTTTTCAGCAAAGCTGAAAGATTTTTTTGTTATAAGCCATTTAATAATGGGATGAGTAATGGATGTCAGTTTTTCCTGTTTATGCATATCTGGTATACATTGTTTGTATATACAGAGATCACCAAGCAGTCTTATAGAAAGGAAGATTAGTCATCCTGATCTTTAAGTTTTAATGTTGCCTTGAGTAAAAAGCAAGTCTCCTGGAAATAGCAAGTAAAATCTTAAAAGAGGCTTAAAATGTGACATATCTCTGCATGTCAGCTTTGGGTGTTTATATCAATATAAAATACAGAGAGGTTTTTTTTTTCATTTTACGCAGATTCATTTCAGCATGCTTAGTATCCCCTGAATTTTAAACACACACATATTTTTAYGTGCACACTTTTACCCACAAATATGCAACAGTATGTGGTCCTCATTTCAGTACAGATAAGTCTGTCCCTGTGGCTCAAGGCTGTCACCTGTGTGAAACTGCTGCAGGGCTTGTTCTAGAGCAGGGCTGACCTCTGTGTCTGTGTCTTGGTTGTGATGGTCAAATCAAGTGGCTTTGTACAGGACCTGCTTTATCAGTGTCTGTGTGTCTGTGTGTCCGTGTGTCTGTGTGTCCATGTTTCTTTGTGTCCGTGTCTCTGTGCAGCACAGGTTTCCCCTCAAAGCCCCAGTGCTTGCAGAGGACACTGCATTCTTTGCCCTCCAGGGAGATCTGGGCTCCCTGAGCTGTGTTGAGAAGGTCAGTGGTAATTTCTCAGTTGCTCGTGATGGTGAGTGGCCATTGAATCTCAGCTGGTGGGGGTGAGATCTGCCTGTGGGGTCTGGGTCAGGGCAGCCTCAGGTGCTCCCATCCCATCACARGTGCTGGTCATTGCAGTCCCTTTCCCAGCCTCTGCCTGCACTGCTTTTCCATGTTTCTCTGCATTCCTGACTGACTTCTGAACTTCTTCTCTTACTCAAACTCCAGTGGCAAGAGTTGACCATGATTTTCTCTGGGAGGGATTTTCCATTGGAAATTTCTCAACGGGCATTTCCCCACCCCATTTGTGAGTGTGAGTCACTGATATCCCCACAGCACACAGCAACAGGACAAGAAGGAACAGTTTTAAACTGTCAGAGAGGTTTAGATTAGATGTTAGGAAGAAATTCTATACTCGGGGGGCATTGAATTTATGGAACAAGCTGCCTAAAGAAGMTGTGRATTCCCCATCCCTGGAAGAGCTYAAGGCCAGTTTGGATGGGTCTCTGAGCAAATTGATCTAGTGGGTGTCAATTCCTGCCCACGGTAAAGCTAAATGATCTTTAAGATCTCTTCTAAYTCAAACCTTTCCTTGATTCTATGATTCTATTCCTCACTTCATCAGGTGCCCCCACAAGGCAAGGACATGTCTGCGGAATGGTTAGCAGAGGACTGAGCAGAGGATTGAGGATAAACCTTTGACTCTGGAAAGAGGTTTATGTAACATTATCAGCTACCCTTAACCATCAGCAAAAGGAGTCAGAGGAATTCCTGCCCCTAGGATCCGTTCAAGGGATCATGGCAATAACCCTTTCCCCATCCACTTGGCTGTAGTGGGTGAGATTTCATGAAATGAGGCTGAACTGGGCAGTTTCTGCCACAGAGGACTCCTCTCAGAAGCATCARTTTTTACATCACTGACCTCATACCCGCCAAGTGTAGGATTTTAGAATTATTAATCAAATCATGATTGTGTTATTAGTCATTGAAGCAAATTTGCAGGAAGTCATGTATTCTGGCAGAAAGTCTGAGATTTCCCTCCTGAGCCTGAATTAGTGACATTTCAGAAAGCTTTTCAGTACAATCCAAACACGGCTTATTGTCTCATGGCACCAAAATACTCTCACAAGTGGGTGGATTTCACTGGCATGCAAGGAGAGAAACCTTGAAATGTGCAAATGGCTTTTAACTTCGTTTTGGACAAGGCTTCTCTGCTTCTTACAAAACAGGTGGGTTGATCCTCTTTCTTTCAGGCAACCACACAAAGAAACAACCTCCTGTACAATGGAGCTGCAAATCAAATACACTCACAGGTTTTACTTCGGTAACATCTTGTGAATATCTCCTTAGGGACTCTCGGGGATGACGAACCAGACAATTTTGACATTGATTGCTTCAGCCAGCTGGACATTAAGGACTCCTTGAGCAGCCTGACCTGCAATTTCAGCGAGCTGCCTCCTTACAACACTAACTATAGCCTGTCTCTGTGGTAAGTGCTGCCAGTCTGTCCTTCTGTAAACACCCGGGAAGTGAAATGCTGAGCACGAGTGAGTCACGCTGCCACATGCAGGGAAACAGGGACTGCAAAGCTAGACAAAATCCTGTTTCAGAGTGTTTTACCAAGTTTGAGTGCTATATTCAGCAAAGAACAGTTTGCTGAAGCAGAACATAACTCCCTAGTAAGAAAAATAAAGAGCTGGAAGGCTCTCTGAAGGGATTATAATGTCTCCAGCAGTTCTGGTCTTGCCCCTGTTGCTCTGGAAAGCCTGCAGTTATGGATGTAGCCCAGAATGAACTGAGAGCTTTTTCCTTTAAATTAAATGGTATTTAAAACAAAAGGTTTTTTTTAAGACACAGATCCTTGCCACAGAAAATTCTTTAGCGGAAGGTTATTTTTCCACATCAGAGAAAATACCTTTATCTGGGTTRAGACAAAAACTCAGCTGTTGTCTTTGCAAACACAGACATGGAAGAAATACACCAGAACAAGTTCACAAACCTCCAACAGTTACCAAACACATCTGTCATCTCCACTTCCTATTGAGGCCTTGCAACCCTTTCCACCCTTTTTTCACTGCTGCACTGAGCTGGAAGATCAGGTTTGGTTTCTTGAGACCCTTTTCCCATTTTTCCTGAAACTGAAAGTTGTGTGGCAGACAACAAAAGAGCTAGATTTTTTGTGGGTTTTTTTATACTAATCACTAATTATTGCCTCTTTTTTTCTCAGTTTATTAGAATTTTTCTATTTTTGTTTCATTCGATTTTCTTGTTATAGGTTTTGATTAAAGTTTCATGGGGGTTCTYAAACATGGGAGCCACAGAAATGCAAAAAAAAGGTTCTGAAACTGCCATGTGGCTCCTTCACCGCCAGGCTGACTGTTGACCCTCTATTTGCTACCACTGAAGTCAATRACAAATTTCTCTTTATCTTCACAGAGCATCAAAACCTATTACCCTATATTTAAAAACAACAGCAGCAAGATGACCCTTAACTGACTGATATCACTTGCCTATTGTGCTCAAAGACCAAAAGGAAAAAAAATCAATCTCTCAAACTCCTTATTTGCAGGGCATTATTTCTTATTTCACACTGAGTCTCGCTTCAGTTAAAGTGAAATGAGCAAGAGGGATTCATCCCTTATAGCATTAGTCAAGTTATAGTAAGACTGAGAAGAAATTAATGTCATGGTGTCATTTTGGCCCACAGCACCAAGGAAGACAACAATTATGCCTGCTCCAACATGAAGAAACAGGAAGATGCATTCTTCTTACAGTTCAATGATATACTCTCCAACAGAGATATTTGTATGTACTCTGAGATGAAGAGAAGGGTCTGCAGGAGTCTGGTTATAACTGACATTGGTGAGACAATTAATATTTTTTAAAGTTACAGGAGTTACTGGGGGAAAAACAGCCCAGCACAAAGTGTCAATCTGGATGACACAGAGGCAGCATAAAGTAGTGTTTTAGCAGGGCACATAGCCTGGGTTGGGATTTATCAGAGGGTTGTGCTTCCCCTGCTTCAAAGCCAAACATAACTAACTTCTCAGGATCAGGGTGTAAGGATGAACTGGGGCTCAGCATGAGGATTGCCCAACTCAGGAGAGCTTTTGCTCGATATAAATCTCCTTGCAGGGCCATCATGAAGTGGACAGGTCTTTTTTTTTTTTTTTTTTTTTTTTTTTTTTAACCCTTTTTTTTTTTTTTTTTTTTTTTTTTTTTTTTTTTATATTCTGGTTTGTTGTAAATTGCAGTTAAGCCTGAAGTACCATTTGCTATAAACATCACATATGAAAGGGAGGCAAATGAGTATCTGATTCGTTACTGTACACCACATTCAAGGAAGAAATACTTACAGGACAAATTAGTACATCAAGTGGCCTATCGGCAGAGAGAAGCTACTTGGAAGGTAAGTGATGTTGTATTAGTGTGCTTACAGTAATTTCCAAAATTAAACATTATCAAAATTACCAGTACAATGTAAAAATTATCAAATSCATGTTTCTGCAGTTTTCATTTGARAACTTGGRAAGGTGCAGCATTCGGCATTTGGAAATGTTGCCACTCTAAAGGGGTTTCATTCGTTTGGGCTTTGCATTGGGAAGAGAAGACATAACATGTTTAACCATTCTAAGTGTTTGGGTTGTTTGCTCTTTGCTCATTTTTCTTTGCTGTTTTCTGTGCTCATCAGTCAGTAAAATGGGGGCCTCTACTTTTTTTATCAAGTTGCTTCATGCTCCCTTTTTTGCTGAGTCCTTCCAGGCTTCCAGCAGCCCCGCAGCTCTCCCACCCTCCGGCTGCAGCTGTGTGTGAGCTGGGTCAGAGCTCAGGGATCTCCGTGTCCCCCGTCACCAGGGCAGCATCCAAAATCTGGTCACAATGCTTGAAACGTGACCACACCTGGGCTTTACMGAGGGAGCACGGTGCTGTCCACAAAAATTGGATTTATAGCCCAGAGTGCAGCAAGGCAGTAATTACACACAAGAGAGAGACATTGATTATTTGTTCAGTTGCACTCCCTGGGYGCTCWGGGGTATTCCACAAATCAAGCGCATCAACTACCAAATCGTTTTACTAYTTACACATTTTAGCAAACAAACTAATTAGTGCTTGTTTGCTACAAGTTGCACAGATCTCTTATTAATTAGTATTCCTTGTTCTATTGGTCAGTGATTCTCTCACGCCAATTAGTCTCACGCTAATTAGCCACAGGCTCAGTCTTTGTCTTTGTTTGACCCGGTGGGCCATGAGTCAGCAGWGGTAATCTGCTCCTGCCACAATTACCTTCCATCACTCGGAGCTGATTCAGCACAGTCACTGAGCTGCCTTTATTAGTTTTTTCCTTATCTTGGGAGTTCTGCCAAATGTCCTCTATCAAGGCCCATAAATTCTGCACCTTTGTGTCCTTTACCAGCGGTACATCCCTCTTYCCAAGCTTTGTTAACCTCCCCCCACTCTGAGATCATCAAAGCACATCAAAACACAAACCTTAACAAGGCACTTCTTTCCACAAGAAATTTGTTTTTCTAACACCTGGACATTACTCAGAGCTTGCTTATTAACTTCTTTCCGCTTCACAGATTAAATCTCCCTTCTTGTCGATTAGGTTTGAAAATACACAAAGATCAAACATCAAAGAACATAAGGGGGAGGAAAATTGATTCAGACAGMAAAATGCATTGAAATTAAGAGCATCAGAGCTGCACTGCAAGGTTTCAGCTTCTTCCCTGTTACTGCTCTTTCAGGCATTCTCTTTTTGTGATGCAAAAATRTATTTTTCCCCCCTCTTTGTTCTGAGCCTTTCCAGGTTAGCATGTATTTCCTACTGCAGTGTCAGCTGTAGCAAAGCACAGTTAATACTCCCAGCTATTTCCCAAAGAGCTTTTACCCAGCATTTGTCTCTCTTCTCAGTATTATCTGGACTGCATCACTGCTTAACTAGGCTGATGCCCTGATAAGCACCTGGGTAATAGCTAGAGAGATGGAGTAAACAGCACAGTATTTCAGGGATGCACCTGATCTCACATATTTGGCTGAACTCGAGGATAATTCTCTGCTGGAAAAATAATTGGTGTTTTTTTTGTGTGTGTGTTTAGACAATWGAGTCACGACACCTTCAGGTAAAGTTGCTGGGGAAAAACCTCAAAAATGAAGCGTCGTATGAGGTGAAAGTACGTTCTCAGCCCGACGGAGAATATTTTAAGGGCACATGGAGTGAATGGAGCACTTCCAGGAACTTCAGGACAGCAAGAGAGCAGCACTCCACAGAGAGCTGTAAGGGCTGGAAACACTTTGGTTCACCTGGAGGAAAGCAGAGCTGGGGGCTGTGGGCTCCTTGGGCAATCTCAGCAGCAGCAGGGGTGAAAAAGTGGAGAGGGAAGAGCCCACAGCCACATCAGGGTCAGCCCTCACAATTACCTCACAGGCACTCCAAGGAGGTGACTCACACAGCAGCTGGATCGCTCTGGGCTGGGGCTGGCTCCCCACGAAAATTTAAACCTCACTGAAGGGCAATAAGGTCAGAGGAAATGCTGCTGTGAGGGTGTGAGGGTGTGGGTGCAGAGGGAGATGAAGGCTGACTCACTACTGGAGGGCTTGCTGCGAGGAGGAGGAGCTGGCACCAGGGTTTGGGTAAGGCTCAAAGAGCTGTGAAACATCCCAGGRCTGGGTTTGTGTGAGAACACGGCWCTTYAACCGCYAGTGCAACACGGGACAAAATCTCCTCACTGCACATAAATAATCTCTGTGGTCCTTGGGGTCCCTTCAGCCCCCAGGGGCACCTCAGCATTATTGTGTTAGAARCCACTTCTGTGCTGCTGTGAGGACACACCGAGGGGTGGCTTCAACGCACAAAACCCAGCCTGGGACTCAGCTCGAAGCTCAGCCAAGCACTGATGGTCTGGCAGCCTGTGTTTTTCCTCCTTCATGGAGGCAGGAGAAAGGATGCCACTGCACCAGCCCAGTGACAGGAAGGTGTGTTAATTCCTAATTTATCACCTGAAAAGACATCACAGTTATGGTGGCTTAACAGTGAGATGTTCACATGCATTGGCTAATGTTCTTTGCTTTCCTTTAGATAGCAGCGTGGTCATGGTTATACTCTGCGTCCTGGGATTCATGCTGTCCATTGCTATGATTGTACTTATCATAGTTTTTTGGGAAAACAGGTAATCTCTTTGTATCAGAAAAGGTGTTGGAACCCAATACTGTTCTGATGGTCTGATGCTTTTCCCGTTACACMTGTGAACTATTCTCTCTCCATCTCTGGAACTCTGTATCAGGTTGACAGCAATCAAAAAGTAGAAGAGGGCAAACAAGAGACAGAATTGACTTTGAGTATTCTTCAGTCTTGGGCTCAAAGCACTGGGACCTTTGGTGAGCCAAAGTCACCACAAACTCAGTGTGCCACTGGAGGCAAATTTGACTCACAAACTTCAAGCAAAATCCAGAAAAGAAAGGGACTTGCAGGTTTCAGCAAAGTCCCAAGAATAAGAAAACAGCAAGCCAGGTTGACAACCTCTTTCATTTCACAGTCTGAGTCAGAGGGTTGTTTGTTCTGCAGCGCTTTCAGAAGCAGCAGGGCAGAGACTCTGCCACAGGGGCTTGATGGTGTCAGATGCCAGCCTGGCCAAATCCACACCCAGCCAGCCATGAGGCGAGATCAGGCAGAAGTGGGACTGAAGATACATTCATTAYCCGGGCAGTCCTCAGGCTGCATTAGGATTTTTTAATATATTTGCTACACAGYAGTAGATAGATAACTGTAAGTATGTTTTTAATGACATGGCTCACTAGAGCTGACAAGCTTATGAAAATGGACAGATATGTAGATAGTCTTACATAACTAGAATCTGAAGGGGGAAAAATTCAAGTTTAATTATAGAAGATGATCTCCACGCAAGACAGAAAACCCAGTTCTGTTCAGTGACATTCATGACACCCAGCTCAAGAGARGTAGCTGTGTGTGGGCTGCTTTTTTGAGACGGCTCTTGGGCTGTGCTAATTCCTGGGTATTACCTGGCCAGTTGGCCTCAGCCAAATCATGCCACAAACTATTTTAATAATTAAACATCTTAGGCACCGGAGTTATCTGCCATGGTGCTACTTTATTCACAAGTACAAAGGTAACTTGAGATTTCTAGCTCTTGCATTTTACTGTTGCTGGAAATCTGCAGGTCTTCAAATTTGCTACAAGTTTTGCTTATATAAAACTGCAGCAAAATCAGTTGAGACTTTTTGATCCCAGGTATTTCCATTTTAAGGGTTTTATACTTGCACATATATGCACCCACACAGACAAACAAATGAAATGAAGTATATATTAATATACATGTATAGTTATATCACTGCAGCAACTGAGTATTAGTTGGATAATATTATCTAGATGCATCATAGCTGAAGGTATCCAGCAGCACAACAGGAGAGCTTTGTTAATCAAAGCAGTAAAAGGAGACCTGTGAAACAAGGCTGCAGGACAGACATCTKAAGCTCAAATTTCTGGCCAAGGAATAGGATTGTTTGCCATTATTTTAATTATGTAAAAATGCAGATACAAGTATCAACGAATTTTCACATCTTCTTGCATTTGCAGAAGCCTGTTTCACCACTCTGTTAGCACAGCTAGATGAAAACAAGCTCTYCGCCAGCATAATTTGCTGCCTTCCCAGTACTTAGTGAAGTGTCTTCTTTTAACTGTGGCAATTTGTGCACTCGAAAGAACAATGACTTTTTGGTGACCTTTACAACGCCTCTTCTCTTGTCTGTTTTATTCTGAGGTTTCTCTGTGTTCATTCTGGATAATGCCAGCCAGCCCTAAGGTTTTGTGAGAGCTAATAAAAGATGCAGTATGAACCCCTGATGCCTTAGCATAGCCCTCTTATGCTGCTTTTTGTCTACTGTTGCTGTTTCAGGATCAAGCCTGCTGTATGGCCAAACTTTCCTGACCATAAAAAAACGCTGGAGCAGCTATGCAAGAAGCCAAAAAACGTATGTTCTTCCACTGTTCTTTTCACCTGACTACAGACCCTTGGAGATAAAACCAAAGCTTATGAGAGACAGTGTATGCATTTTCTGCATGAACTAGGGCACCTTTCAGAAATTGCATCCACATTTCACTGAAGAGAGCCCACATTTGCACATGCAGATGTCAGACAAGGGTATGCAAATAGCACCCAATTCAACTCATTCTTGAGGTTTGACTTGTGCAAAGCAGCTACAGAGGTTTTGGGGAGTTGATGTATGAAAAAAGGCTGAAGAAATTAAATTAATTGTTTATAGAAGAAAAGGAAGCTCGRGGTGGGAAATACTACTTAAAACCTTCCCATATCCGAGGGATAGGTAGAGAGACAGGGGAAGTGCTGTCACCACAAGGATGCATGGTGACAGGATCAGGGACTACAAGCATGTTTTGCTTCAGGGCAAACAACTTCTGGATATAAGGAAAGAATATTTCTGGTGAGAATAATTAAGCATGGTGTATCCTGCCCAAAGACAAGGTAGGTTCTCCTGTGGGAAAATGTTTAAGCCTTGGCTTGATGGGGTTCTGAACAACCTAATTCAGGTCCTGCTTCTGGCAGAGGGTAGGAGGGCAGAGCTCCTTTCCAACCAAGATGCTTTGGTGATTCTGTGAAACTGTGATCATTGGGCTGGGTGGAGACCTTTGGCAAACATCCCTGGTGATGACCCTGTACCCTGGCACACATCATGTTCAGAAATTGTGCAGTGCATGAACTGCTTTGCCAGTTGAAAGCCAGATGGGCAAAGGCTACAAACCATAAGATGTGGGGTTAACCTGTTGCCTTAAAACTATATGTCTAGTTCATTTTTTTTTCCACAAAGAAAGTCATTAGTGCTGTTCACTCCTGTTGGTACATTATTAATGTTCTGAATGTAACAGGAGCCCTAAGACACYTCTCCCATTCCCCAGTTCTCGTGCTTCTTGTGCATCCTCCAGTTCATCCTGTGTTCCCCAGTTTGGGGATTCCTAGTGTGTTTCAGGAAGTCGTGGCCAGTTTTCACTTCCCTCTCKGCTAAATTAGGAAGGTAAAACTGAAAGAAACCACCTGAGTGGGCACAGTCCTTCATGTGAAATTGCACGCACACAATGGATGCATGTCTCATAAAAATGTCTGGAACACTGAATGGAGCATGAAACACCCTCCAGGGGTACTGCCCAGAGGAGGACATATCCAGGTTAAGGGATAAGGGAAAGGGATTTTCATCCATGTGATAGYTCATTCTGTGCTAACCTATTGTTCAGCCTCCTCAGGGTTACATCTAGAGTTAAGGAAATAATAAATACCCTGCTAAAATMAAATAAATTATCAAAGAACCTTTTCTCTTATGCTACTACCCACTGCTGACTAACTGTGTTGTCCCTTTGTCACACAGAACTTTGATATAAGCTTTAACCCAGAGAGTTTTGGTTACGTTCATATCCATAAAGTGGACGGCCTTTTGGCAAAAGCTGAACTGGAAAATTTTCTGCAGACATCAACTGCTCCAGAGACAAACCTTCCGGAAAAATGCAGGAGCGGATCAGACCTGAAGATGCTCCCTGTGATAACAGACAAAACCAGGCCAAACCTRCCTGTGCCTTTTGGGGGAGTGTGGCCAGCTGAAGCCCTGCACAGGCTCCTGGGCCCCAGCCAGTTTGCAGCGACCGAGGGCAGCTGCAGCTCCAGCACGTACGAGGTGTGCCACGGCAGCAGGCTGCCCCTGCACAGGGATGGCTTCAACCTTCCCTCCACTGCTCCCCTGGATCCTTCTGGCCAGCCCCTTCCACAGCCCCTAAATGATGGCACCGTTTCCCAGATGCTGCCCAGTGGGGATATGAGATCACCAAACAACGAGGAAGCATACGTCACCATGTCCAACTTCTACAAAATTCAGTAAATCTCACAAGAATGATGCGTGCCTTTTTTCCTCTGRCATGAGCAGGATACTGAAGCTTTCTGTTTTGTGAGTTCCCACCTCTCTCTCGCACTTTGCTCACAGTGCCAGGCTATTCCTGCAGGGAAGTGCATTCTCCTGCAGTCCAGTGAGAAGTATCTCAGCATTCAGTATGCTGCTAGCAGTCTTCACTGCAGCAGAAATTAAAATTAATTCAACCTGATTTTAATCTTCAAATCTGATTAATCCAGAGAAGTGACAATGCAGTCCCAGCTGAGGATCACAGCATGACTCGTAGAAATTAATGAACTCTTTTGTTATCCTCTTAGTTACAGAGTTAAGCTCTTATTAATACCTTAGCAAGAAATACGGAATAAATTCTATTTGAATAGAACCCATTCACTTTTAAACATTGGTGGGTCAAGAGTAACTCCCCCTAGTGAGTGTAACTCCATGAATTTGAAAAAAGAGAGTAAATTAAAATCGCTATCAAGCATTAGGTGCCTGAGGATTCAGGAACTTTAGCACCACACTGAGAATTAGCTGAATGCCCAGAAAAAAAAAACAAAACAGTGCATGGACCCACTTTAGGGAGATGTCTCCTGAGATGGATTTAAATTAGGGGTTGGTAGKTTTTTTTTGGAGACACAAATTAAAACAAAGCAAACCTTATATGCATCTTGCTCTTGGTAAAGATCTGCCCTTAAGCCAGTTATCCAGGATCCACAGGTACTTCTGCTGATACTTTTGAGGTCTTCAGCATTTCATGTGCCAGYTATGTAAAGCCAAGTCCTTTCTCTGCCTAGAAGCTGAATTAGGGCTGCAAATTGCAGGATGCTGTATTTTAGTGCAGCTCCTCTGCAGCATCAGTGTAGCATGTAAGTGCTTTCCTGGCCAGCAGCTGGGCTGACYGTGTTTGTTTACTAGCATTATTCCCAATGGCTGTGACTGCACTCAAAGACTATGAATTTGGACAAGCAATGTTCTCATGCAGTGTCTGACATAGGAAGATGAATGGAATGTCATGGATCCTGCCAGTGATCATAAGACTTAACTTCCTTTTATAAGTAACTTATGATTTCCCTGGATATTTTTTTTTGTTGTTTGTTTGTTTGTTATGGTTTCCCTGGATATGTTTTTTGTTTGTTTGCTTGTTTGTTGGGGTTCTTTCTAAAATTTTTAATTTTGTTTTACTTTTAAAATATTTTTTTGGCATTGCGACTTTTTTCCTTTACAGTATCCCATTCATTATATTTTTTTACTTTATGGCTGAGCCACTTCACAATCCTCCTTCAATGCTGCRCATTCTGGAGCACACACTTGGAGATAAAGCTGCTACAGCCACGTGGTTGCATGACAGCAGAGCAGTGTGGCCATGGGGCATCCAAGCTGCTTTGTTACACCCTGGAACTGGTGTTCTCTTCAATCCTGGGCAGTTTCAGTTCCTTTAGCTCTTTGAATTTCTCCTTTACCAAGATGCACTCACATTCCCTGAGTTCTGAGGGTGAAATGAGTCCTTTCTCATCCTCAAAGCTGCTCAGATTTTTCTGACTGAGGATGGTCATGAAGATGTCAAAAACCTTAACTGCCTCTGCCAAGACAGCTTCGTGCCAGGAGAGCTGCAGGATGAGGATGCACCTCTTGTAGTCTGGTTTCAAGGATATATGGCAGAGAGTGGGGCTTGCATTAAACTCGGTTTCTTGAATCAGAATTTTATGCTTCAGGAGACAGTACARGCCAAACAGCAATTTTGGACCACATCAAGCCAAAACCAGCCTTCCCAAGACAGCACTCCACCTCCTCCACCTTCACCCAGCACCAGAGAAAYCTTCAAGTGGGGAGAACCTGACAACCTCTGTGTGCAAAGGGGCCTCGGATTTGGCTCAAGGCACTCCACTGACCTTTTACAGAATGTCTTTTATTGCTGTATATTGCCAAATGAAGCATTAACAGATGCAGAAGAAAAAAGAGCAAAACCCTGGGCATTAATTTGCTTTATAGTGCTTGTATTTCTTTTCAAAAAGAGCTGCTGATAATGCTTGCACTGTGAAAACTTGCACAGTGTGATTGTAGATACAGACTACGCTGTACTCTTCCAGTGACAGCAATGAACAAAAAGGGGATAGAGGAAGAAGCAAAAGCACATCAGGAAAACCCTCTGCCATATGTGCTACGCTTCCTTCAGTTTTTGTAATTCTGTAACACATTTGATGGATGATACATTTGATGGTATGCAGATATAACCACTTTCAGCTTTGTTTTGGAAAAAAAAAAATAAAGCCGAATATGCACCAAAGCCAGAAATACCACAAGCACTTCCTGTCTATGACCAGGTTATATTTAGTCCATCTATGAGGATACAGCCGTGGCTATGTGTGGACAGCCTGTCAAGTAGTTTCCTTATTCTACAAGACAGTTTCTCCAGAGCTGTACACAAGTTCCCATCTGCCTCAGTACTCACACAGGAGTATTGCTGAGCTTTCACATACTCCATGCCCTTCCTTTAGTTCAGCACTACTCTCCTTCTCCCATTTTMTGCTTCCAGTGCTCTTACTCAGCTGCACACCCCAAACCCAGATGGGTGACACTGGTTCCTCTGCAGCTGATTTTGACACAGTGCCTGGAGCTGCCTGCTCCTTTCTGCCCACCGGGGTCCAGCCCCTCTCCTGCAGCTGCGCTACCACACAGATGCTCTCCCATTTTCCCTTCTCCTTATCTGTGTGCAGCTCATTTGTACCATGCAGCATCCCCTAGCTATACACAAATAAACTTAGACTTTTGTCAATTATAACAGTGAGTCACAGCCTAATTCTAACGATGCTGAAAAATGCTAATTACATCCCAAGGTGATAGTCATCCCCTGCTTAAAGCAGTTTGTTGCTCAAAGCAGTTTGTCTGCTCCTCTTGTGCACTTTCATTGGACAGGCTGAAAGACTCCACACAAGTGCTGTGTGTGTCAGCACAAGACCTGTGGGGAGGCAGGAGGATTGTTCCTGCCAGGGTGGAGGGATGGCTAAATGCATCAGTGATGTCTGGGCTATGAAACAAGTRGTGAAAGGGTGCCTTGACTATCCCTGCTGCAGCGACACACGGCTGAATGCAGGGCRGTTTTTGGCAGGCAGATGACCATGAAACCACCTCTTCTGGCAGCCAGGAACCTGGTGGAGCTGCCAGGGTATTTCTGCAGGGCAGSAGTACAGCCCATTCTCAGCTTCTCAGCAATAGTGTTTATTGATTTGAAGGCATGTACTTGTACAGCAATACTGCAGTGCTGCAGCCTGGGGGGAGCAGTAGTCGGATTTTAGTCAATACACTTTTGAATCAATCTAGTTATCTCTGTGGTCGTGGGGTTTCTGGAGCTATCATTTAAAAACAGCTAAAATGTGACACAAAGAAGACTTACCACCTCCGTGAAAAATTATTTGAGAGTCAAACACCTCCTTATCAGTGTGATCATGAAGCCACCCAAATTAGCACTCCTGTGTGTCACAGAGCATTGGCAAAACAAATCTAAAGTACAGACACACAAGAAAACAACTGATGATGCCAGGAAATGCAATAGCTAAATTATACCGGCTATCTCACCCCCGGCTCACGCGGCAGCTCCAGGTTTCGGCCAGGATGGCTTTTCCTTGGCTTCCAAGCGCCACCTGCTGAAACACGAAGCCGCATGACAGAGCCCAGCGCTTGGACGCTGCCTGGTGCCATCCCAGCGTGAAGCTCCAAAAGCGTTGCTCACATGGGACCTGGGGGGGAAAAGATCAAGCCTACAACGAACCGAGCAGTGTTTTATAGCCTGTGGCCCCAAAGAAATTTGGGCAAATTAAAGCAAAAGTCAGATTTTCCAGGACTTCTTCATCATTAAAATGAAGTAGCCATCAGTACCCACAGAAGCACTAACTCCATTGTAGTAATTCAGAAACTCATCTTTTGTGAACTAAGAATGAGAAAAACAATGTTTACAAGGGCGATATGATGTGTCTCATCGGACTCTCTATTTTGMAAATAACTCTTTTGCACCTTCCAGGGAAGTCTGGTTTTCACGTCAGACTCTCCTAACCTGATATTAGGATGTATTGCTGCAGCCAGCTCTAACACAGAATTTGCTTGAATGACACTAAGGTCAACGGATTGAGATTCTTTGTTTGGAAAAAAGAGCTGCTGCTATGTGCTCCAAAAATAATATAAGAAWAATTATTCCTKTTATTATTAAATAATTGACTGCATAGCTTACATGTCACAGCAAAATTAGACTAGTCCAATATCAGGACCATCACCAAATGAATGTGAAAAGCCCCAAAGGTTTGTAAAAAAAAAAAAAAAAAAAAAAAAAAAGGCACAAAGGAGACATGCATTAATGAAAATGTCTCAAGAAATAAATCTATGCCACAAAGGTGGAGTTTCTCTAACACAATCTGACAATAGTTATTCCAGAAAATGTATACAAGCTAAAAAAAACCTCCACATTTTGAAAGTAGAAGGAAAAAAAAACCCAAAAAAAAAAAACATGTATTGCAGATTTTGGAAAAAATTACCACATTTTCAATGACAAAAGGAACTAATCTATCCCAGGGAAATAAACACTTCTCACTTTTTGCCACAATCTCTGCTTTTCCACAGAAAACCAGACTTGATTTAACTTTACAAAACGCTGTGCTTCCTTTCTTTCCAACATGTTAGAGCAAAGGCTGGATTCTGTTCCCGGTCTCCAGCTGCAGCTCCTGTTGGGATCAGCAGCAGTGCTGTGATCTGGGGACATGGGGAGCTGTACCTGGGGTGGATGCAAACCAGCAAGCTGAACCTCTTGTTTCCCAAAGCGTTCCTGCCTCCTGGCATGGGGCTGGAAGAGGTGCTAGAGCCAAAACCAAGCTCGCTTTGAAACCACAGGGATTTCAGACTCAGCTGAGGCACAGCAGCATGGCCGGGGGGCTGCTGCAAACAGGGAGGCTGCTCTCAGCTGCCTGAGGAATTGGTGCTCAGCACAGCCTGCCTGAAAACCCACTTTCTGCTCACCCTGCAGGGGAGGAAAGCCAAAGAAACAGGGCAGGCGGTAATCATGGTGATAATCACTGGCAGTGGGCAGCTGCTGACAGTGCCAGGCTGCTCTTGGCATTCTCTGTTTTGCTGGGGAAACCTCAGTCTGCTGCTGCAGCTGCTGCTGCTGCTGCTCCCAGCGTGGAGAACCGGAGCTGCAAGGCAAAAATCAACAAACTCCCTGGTCTTGTTCCTTCTGCAGGCTGTTTACAGCTCTGGGATGGCAAAGCCGTGCTTTGCCCACGTGGTTGCAGAGGTCTGAGGCTGCACTGTGTGCGAGGAGTTACATAAAGGCAAGTTGGCTTTTGTACAGSCGTGTGCACAGGTGGTTTCATCTGCAAAATTTCTGCTGCTGCCATCTGCCTCTGCCAAGACAGCTTTGTGTCAGGAGAGCAGCAGAATGAATCAGATCTCTGACTGTCTCTTGTGGTCTAGTTTCGAGTACATATGGCAGAAAGTGTAGCTGGCATTAAATTTGGTTGCTCGAAACAGAATATTATGCTGGGGGAGACAGCCTAAGACAAAGAACATTTCTGGACCACATCAAGCCAAAACTTCCTCTCCCAGAAAGAGGCATGAAGCCACAAAGAGTGCAGAGAAGGTCAATTCAAAATGCAGGAAAGGAAGCTGCAGAAGTGCCACTTTTCCCAGAGGAGCACACCAGAAGAAAAGGCTGTCCCACACCTCTTTGTCCCCATGCCTTGTGCTTTTTTTGGGGTAGGGGAGTGTGTCACAGAGGTGTTGTGATGGCTCAGGCAGAGGCAGGAAGTGGGGGCAGAGTTCTGGAAGAGTTACAAGAGAGGCTTTTCCCTCTCTTCCACAGGGCTATACCAATACTTTTGGAGCAATCTTCAACGCTGGCTGAGGGGAGGGGCAGACCTTGTTCCTGACGAGACAGTGCCACAAGGCAGGCAGGAGCTCAAGACGCAGGCAAAACCTCCACTTCTGGGACTGCCCCCAGCACTGCCGACTCAGATGTTCCTGTGGTTTGTGCCATCCTGTTTAGCATCTGTTGCACAATCAGAAAGAAGAAATASTGCTTCGAACATAAAGTGCCAGCCAGCATCTCCAATCTTGATGCTAGCAGCTGATAGAGTGGTGTGCATTGCCACCTATCTATCTCCCGAAATCTGCTGTGTGTGCTGTGGGGCCACAGGCTGGCAGGGCAGCCTGCATCAGCCCTTATCTCCTGATCTGCTGGCTCTGTAASCAGCACACAGCAGCTGCAGCTGAACTGGGGCCTTTCAGCTTCATTTTTGAGTCTCCCAGATTGCAGAGGGACAGTGAAGAGCTAAAGGGAGGATCTGGGCACTTGCTGTTAGTCTTGATAATCCCTCTGGTCTGCTTCAAATCCCTTTAACTTTCCTTTAACTCTGGAAAAGTGCTTCCTCTGAATGCCTGGTATGTGTGCCCAGTGTGACATGGTGGCTGCATGCTCCCATGTCCCAGCAGCGATTTTCCTACCTAACAGTTAATGATGGTGTTTGCTCCATCAATTTGCACACATAATCAAATTACATTTCTTACAGGACACATTCCAATTTGAGTTCTACAGCTCTGATTACAAGTGAAGAATTCATGCCATTGCTTGCCAGATTTTTTTTTCCCAAAAGCACTGTACCTTTTCTGCAGTTATCAGCCATTTTTCAGGCTGCTTCTGTTCTGTACAAATGTTGAAATTACTCAGTTGTGAACCTTTTTCTCAGGAAGCTTATCCAATGAGGTCCACACACAGGCAGACCCTGAGCTGGGAATGGTTCTGAGAGCACCAGGGTAAGGGGTTTTAAACTCTCCATGTCCTTCAGGTCCCACACAAACCCCATCAGTCCAGCTCAGTGCAGAAATCTTGTCCTGAAGCACAGGGTTTTCCCCAGCTGCACATGCTCAGATAATGCTCTCAGAGGCCAGTGACAAATTTTCTGCTGGTTTTAAAAAAGCACAGCAGCTTTCATTACTACTCCTCCCTTCTGAAAATGTATACTGGTTTGGGATTAAATAAAATTGGAAGCTATTGGTACCAAAGATGATCAGGCTGCAGTTATTAAAACTTCCACTTCACTTGAGCAAATATCAGCCTGTCAGATCACTGTAGGGTGTGAAGACATGAGATAGCAAGTCAAAAGGAAATGTTTCATTTTGTGATGCCCATAGTCCATCCACGTTACTTTCTTTCTATTTGAAAGATAGATAGCATGACAGAACAGGGAAACAGGACATCTCTCCGGGAACAGAGAGAAAAAAGTACTGCAACACATGTTGTGAAATCAATTAATAAAAGAGAAGTAAATTTCTACTCAAGCTGCCAGAACACGTACAGCCCATATTTGATAATAAATTTGTTTTTCATATATGTTGGCACTTCAGTAGCATTGCAGTAAGTAAAGGCTTCTCTTACAACCACTGGCAATCGTAAAGAGAATTTCTCCACCAGTTTCCAGTGTCAGCCAGTATGCAAGTTTCTGGAGCCTAAGTTGTCAAAGGAAATAATTGAGTTTGCACAGCTTTCACTAAGGAATTGCAGGCAGCTATTGCTCATACTGAGATCATGGCCGGACAAAGAAAAACAGGGTTTGCAGAGGGTCAGCGCAGCAAGCACGCAGGACCTCAGTGTTTGAAGTGCTATCAGAACTTCATCAGAAAGGCAGTTTCGAGAGCCCAGTCTGTAGACCTGCACTGCTTTTAGCTGGCTGCCAGCCTGAAATGGAGCAAATGCTGCCGTGCACAAGACATTTACTCTTTGCTACAGCAGCAGATTCTCAGTGTGGGAGAGCAGCACAATGATGAGAGAGGAGAAGAAGTAGAAGAAAAAAGATGAAAATCAATGAAAGCAGGAAAAATTAGACACCACACACTCACACACAAGGTTTTTGGGTCTAGTTTTTGTTGTTTTGGTTTTTTATTTTGGTTTTTTTTTTACATTTTCCTTCATATATCATTTCCCAACCATCTTCTGTATGGACAAAGGATAAAAGATGAGCTGAGACAGTATAATCACTCCCATGACAGTCTTTACTCAGAATCAGAAAGAGGACAGGATCCTCTCAGAGGATGAGAAAGTTTCAACTTCTTTATTTCCCAGAAAGCTCCCTGAAGTCATAGCTTCTTCATAAGACTCTGCAAATACAAATGAGTAGTTAGTAACTTTCAGTGTAGCTGCATACAGAAAACAGCTACCAGGTCAGCAAACATTCCGGGAACAGAGAGAAAAAAGTACTGCAACACATGTATCCCCTTTAAAGAAAAATATGAGTCAAAGGATCTCACAGAACAGGAATCAAAGCAGGCAGAGGACTTTGCCTTATGAAAGGCTCCAGTGGAGAGACATGGGGAGAGGCACCCTTTTAGCCAGGGTCTAAACCCTGACACCTGGTCCATGTCTCGCCTTCCTGGATTATCCCTCCAGCCTCCCAGGACTGGGAACTCACAGGTTCCCAACAGCAAGATGAGCAGCTGCTCCATCACACAATAAAATAAGAGATGCTGCAGTGCTACAGGTGACAGGTCTGCAGGACCCTCTTGGGATGGACTTCCATCCATTTCTAACAGCCTGTCCAACACCACCACACCCCCATAATATTTTGGTTTCCCTCTCTTGCATCTTCTGCCAAACAGATCTGTATCCAACACCGCAAGAGGGATATGTTCAGGAGCCACAGTGACCTACTGCAGATGTCAGAAAAGAAAGGAGCAGCTCATCCCGGCAAAGGAAAGATATGCCAAGGACACAAAGAGAAGAAGGACAGATGTGTGGGGTGGCTGGATGCCAGATCTGCTCTCTGATTATGTTCTGATCCCCTGAGGTTGACCCTACTGAAGCATCTGGGAATTAATTCTGCAGAATGAATGTAATTGGCACGGTTACTGGAAACTGTCGTTATGGAACAGGAGGGTGTTGTTGTACATACACTAAATCAGAGGAACCTACAAGGGGTGAAAGTAAAGTTTTGCTTCTTTACCTAAATGATCAGAGTTTCCAGGCATTCCTCATCATGACGATAAAGTAGATGTCTGTGTCTATTGAAGCGCTGACTCCAGCATAGTAGTTCATGAATTCTTCTGTTGTGACCTGAGACAGAGAAATTAAAAATAGGAAAAATGAACCTTTGTTGTTTTTCTTTTAATGCTGCAAGTCAAAACCACACATTAAGAACTCTCAATGAAATGGAACATCTGCTATTTCATGTTGTTGCTAACAAAAAGGAATCCAACAGGAGGAATTAAGAAGCCTAAAAATTGTTTTAATTCACTTTGCTAGAAACAAGAKCTCTTGTCCTCCAGTTCAGTTGGATGTGTGAAGTTCATGTGCAGTTCAACTAACCTTACCAGGAACTGAAGTTAAAATCACTGCTGCCTAAGAAGACAAATGTTTTAACATACTTTAACATACATCCCTTTTTACCAGGGATGCTATAATCTCATTCTTTGCATTATTATTAATTAAAGTGGATGGGGCTTTGGGTGCAATTCAGAGATGGCTCAGAACTTCATATCCACCCATAGAGAGAAAAATATCATTGCTCTAAGCAAGTCTCACTTAATGAAGCAAATATTATTTGAAATACCTAAGAGTTTTGAATAGCTTTCTTGGGCATTTAGAGGTTTAAAAATTACTATTAAAAATAAATTAGCCAAGAGAAGCAGTGCATGTCTCTTGTGATGACTTAACTCTCAAACTATGTAGACCATTCTTTGAATAAATGTCAAGTAGAAAAATACAAAACCATGTAAAAAGACATTAAACCACTAGAAAGTGTCCAAAGGAGGGCCAAGGGGATGCTGAAGAGTCTGGAGGGGAAGCTGTGTGAGGAGTGGCTGAGGTCACTTGGTCTGTTCAGCCTGGAGAAGAGGAGACTGAGGGGAGAGCTCATTTTGGCCTTCAGCATCCTCACAAGGGGAAATGCAGGGGCAGACTCTGATCTCTTCTCTGTGGTGACAGTGACAGGAGTAGAGGGAATTGACTGAAGTTGTGTCAGAGGAGGTTTAGGTTGGGTATCAGGAAAAGGTTTTTCACCCAGAGGGTGGTTGGGCACTGGAACAGCTCCCCAGGGCAGTGGCCAGAGCACCAGCCTGACAGAGCCCAAGAAGCATTTGGACAATGCTGTCAGGCACATGGTRTGACTCTCGGGGTGTCCTGTGCAGAGTCGGGAGTTGGATTTGATGATCCATCAGCAGGCAGGCTCAGCAAGGCCTGTAATCAGTTCACAATGGTAGGGCAGTCTGGAGTGGTCCCTTSTAACTCAGCATAGCCTATGATTCCATGATACTTGCTCTGATTGCACTTCATGGCTGAGGACTTAGAAAAACATAACAGGGAGAAGGGACCACTCCAGACTGTCCTAACATTGTGAACTGATTACAGGACTTGCTGAGCCTGCCTGCTTCAGAGGCACCCAGCAAGCTCACAGTGAAGAAGACCTTTCTAGCAAATGTTCAACCTTGCGGCATTTCTGCTTAAAACATTTCAGGTACTCAATATCATTCGAGTCTTCTGAATCAGGAAAGCCACATTCTGTTCTCAGAAGAAACAGCGAGGAGGTGAGCTAACATCAGGATTGCTGGACAAGGTGGGTGCTCAGAGTAGCCACCACTGAATTCATCAAGGATCACTTTGAGAACTCTTTTCACGTGTTCGTGTATGATCCCAGCACAAAAAGCAGGAACATGCTAGATGTCACCACTGCTGTGGAGATGGAAGGGGGCAGCTGGCTCAGAACTGGTACCTCTGGGGTTGACAAAGGGATGAAATTGAGCTCTACTAAGTGCAAAGTCATGCCCAAGGTAAATGAAACCCATCACCTTTCTAGAACTGAGGGCTTGTGCGTTGGGAAAAAACAGACAGCTATTGGACATGTAGGAGTCACCAGTGCAATGCAGCCTTGAAAACCCAGGTGCAGTCAGGAGAGTGGGAAGTGTTAAAGATAGTCCACAAAGTGCAGATAAAAACTCACAGCCCAGTTTGTTATCTGCTGCTCAGACTGAGAGTGCCACCGCATGAACCACAGAGACTACACTGAGCTGGTCAGACAGATGTAAGCTCAGACCAAAGAAGTTTGGTGGCTGCAAGACATGTGCCTTACAAGTCCACCACAGAAGGTGCCCAGGCTTTACACGTGCACCTGAAAGTTGAGCCAGAGGGCAGGAAGGGTTTCCAGCTCTGACCCAGCTTATAGCTCCTCAGGGCACAGGGCAGCACCCTCAGCCCCATCCTCCCTCCAGCTCTGCAGAGATAAATCTGTCTCCACTATAGACTGATTTCCAAGTCAAGTGTCTTAGTAATCACACTGAAGAACTAATTGCAAAGTATTTTACATACTAGGGAACCTGCTTTTGAACCAGATCCTAGTGTTTATTCTCTTAAGAAGTGAAAATTCCTCCAATTTATGTGGGTCTTGAAAATCAGCTGCTTCACAGGACAGTCTGAAGATATGTTTAATCTATGATGCTAGATTATTGCAAGCCTTAATGCAATCTCACAGCAACTCTTGTACCTCCTGCAGAGCCCCTTTTCCTCAGAATGCACAGCATAAACTGTACCAGCAGCGCCATGCTCAGGTTATGCACCTGCTCTGCTTTTCTATTTAAATGTGATGCAAATAGATGTTTGGYACTGCAATTACTCCCACATTCAATAACGTAAATCAGATTCTGAGTCAGATGATGATTTCATAGCTTGACATTAGCTGCTTCCCTCACTTACCTTCCCATCTTTGTCATAAGGCGCATCAAAATTATCTAGAAAGGCTCTGAAAACTTGATCTTCTGTCCACTCTCCATTTAGGTATTTGGGATGATATTTGGCGTTATACACCTCTCGTAAGTCTTCAAYTGTTATGACACCATCTCCAGTCTTGTCTAACTTCTGAAACGCCTGCATGATGACCTCTTTTCTTGCATTGGACATGGGAGGCTGCAAAGAAGTATTAACAGAATCATTTTGTATCTGCCAACTTCTTGCCCAGTTCCAAATTCAATTACTTGCTGTTGCTGGCAGTAAAATTTTCAAGGTATGTGGGATGAGAGACTGGTGATGGAAAGGGTGATATACCAAGAGAGAAAATGTTAACTAAAACAYTTTTCTGATCTACCCATTTTAAATATTTTCAACAAGAAATTACTAATTACTCTAAGTACTAGTGTTTTCCATCTTAATTGTTTAGATTTCAGCAGAGGAAAGAAATGTCAGACAAAACCAATCACAGTGGTGGATTAGAGAAAAATATCCCCTGAATTAGTTCATGTTATAGAGGCATCATAAAATGGCCAACAAAAAAGCGAGATTTTACAAGACTTTCTTTGTAAATATTCTATTGTATTTTTGTTCTGTTCTTTTCTGCTAAATTTTAATCTGTTTAATGCAACAACAACATGAATTCCCAGACTTACTCTCAGTGTAACAAGAAACTCATCAAAATCAATTGTTCCACTGCCGTCTTTATCAAATATCCGGAAAAGTTCTTGTGCTTCTTCTGTATTGATCATCACAGCATAATTAATTAGGCCTCTCTGAAACTCTTTGAAATCAAGGGTTCTGCTCCTGTTGCTGTCTATAATCTGAAACACTCTGTGGAAAACACAAAATTAGAGGAAATGCATAGGAAAACATGGAGAGTGCTGCAATGGTTTAGCACAGTGCTGGAGTACAGAGCCATCTTACTGAGATAACATTTGTCCCTTTTTCCATATTTTGAGGTGGAAAAAAGCCYCCAACCAACAACCCCCTTACACTTGGTGGCAGCAGAGATGACTTGTTTCGATTGGTGCCTGAATATTATGCATCTGAAGCTAAATGAGGAAAAGGCTGCCAGGGTATTCCTGCTCATTAGAGCCCTATGTAAGTTGGACATTCAGAGGAAGTTGCAGCTGGTCACCACCTGGATCCTTTTGTGGTTTATGGGGCCTGGAAGGGGTCTCAGGGTGTGATGTAGCTTCCCTTACTTAGGGGTGAGATCCTTGCTAAAAGATTTTAGGTGCTTCCCACAAACTAGACAGTTAATAGACTGTTACCACAAGGGTATCACACCCTGAAGGGAAGACAGCATAAAATCCCAAGTGCTGAAATCCTTCAAACAATTTTAGAAAACACCAGAGATATATGGTTTATGCTCCCTTCCTTTCCCTTCCCCTGTTCTAAGTCTCACAGAAGAGCTTTCCCATGTCCTTTCCCATGAGAGATTCACAATTTTCAATCCTTCAAAAGATGAGCATGTCTGTCCTGTATCCCAAAACTCACAAGCCCCAGTGCCAGGCTCTGTGGGTTGTGGCATTTSCACTGGAATGAGGAAATTCCAGTTTTGGCTCCCATTTACCCTGTGAGMCCCTTACAGCTAAAACTATCAGGCTGAATAATGGCTTTGACTTCTTGTACTCACCTGCCAAGCCCTTTGATGCCTGCAGATCCCTTTGCCAAGCACTGCAGGCGAAGCCTTTCCAAAGGGTCAGTAGTTTTGCGCAAGTTTCTTTTCGCTTCAATTGCCATGTCTCGGTCATGTCTTGCTGTGCCKGGCATCTGGAAGATCAAAGGTCTGCTGTGGCATGGATTCACATACAGACAGTGCTGAAAACTGCCTTAGCACACAGAGCTTCCCAAATCCCTCACTTACAATCGACTGGTGGCAACTCTTTTGCGAGGACTCATTCTGAGCCTCCATTTCTTTTGCCTTATATCCTTCTGTCAGAAAGGGAAATTGCCAATACAGACCACCAAGCACGAAAGGAGGGCTCAGCTAACCAGCTTGTGATTGATCCAGATGCAGACAGGAAATTGTGTGTAAGAATTTTCTGCCTGCAGTGTGAGAGTACTGTGACAGCTGGTGGATGCGCTCAGGAGAGCGTGGCTACCCCGGTACCGTCAGCACCCTCACCAAGCCTGGCCAGGCTTAGAGTCACCAGCTGACCACAGGAAGACAAAAATAACCCTGTGAGKATCTTAGCCTTTGATTCACTTTTGTTCCACTGAAGCCCCGACTCTCCAGAGCTGAGTTTTCTCCCATTGCACATCTGAGCAACAGCAGTCTCCTACACATGACACTTACTGCTTTTTTTAACACAACTGCAGAACAAATTAATGCCTTAACTATTCACAGTATTTAGCACACTGGGATTTCACATGCTGACAACAGACACATAGGCCTTCCAGCTTCCCTCAGAGGAAAAAAATGGAATAAAAATAGGGAAAACCAGCCTGTGAATCTGCAGTRCTGCAACAATGGTACCAAGAGCAGCACACCCGAGCTGGCACGGAGCCATTGCCTCTCCCACAGGGATTATTTGTGCCTAGTACTAAGAAGAGCAGGGCTGCCCGTGCCCATACTGATATTTTAGGGCCACAATGAATCCTGAGCACTTGCTCAGGGCCAAGCCAGGCTATGGGTCTCTAGACTCCTACAATATTTTCCAGCCTTTAAAGCATCACATGATCAGGGCACAAGAGAGACACAGAAGTTACAGCAGAGCTCCAGACTGAGAGGGCAGCGCTGGGATGCGGAGATGAAGCTGAGCAGTCCTGTGAGGCATTGTCAGTGCATGTGGCACTTCCAATCCCTTTGACGTTCCACGTGCAGAAGTGTGAATTGAAATGGCTAGACAAAACTTGTAAAAAACATGGAATTAAACTGTTTTGCCTTAACTACACCACTCCTATTCACAGGGCATTGGCCATGGCCACTGGTAATGTTACATATGTTACATAATTTTACAATGGCTTCAGATGAGTCCAGCTGGGCTTGTAGAAACAGAAAAATCAAATGGCTTTGTACTCCTCAAATGGTTTCAGCACTGGCTTATTATAGCAGTCTAGAGAGGTAAAATATAGACAATTTTGGCCTTTGCTTCAGACAGAACAAGCAAAGTTCTTCTGGGAACTCATTAACCAGTGACCAGGAAGATCTTACAGCTGTGTGAGATCAGCAGCCAAAAATGTTTTTTTGCAAACAATGATCTATCCTTAAGGGGAAATGTTTTGCTGGAAAGACTATTAAATGCAGTGAGGTTACATAAACACAGTGCAAATGATACTTGCATTATATAATAACGTACTATTGTTTATGTCTAAAATATAGCAAATGTACATCTCTATGCAGAGTGCAAGATGCAAGCATATCACTGTGCATTGTGCTTCCCTCTACACTATGCTATGCTTTTATAGAGAGCCATAAATTCTGGGACTAATATTATTCTAACAAAACTAATTCATCTCCACTGCACATTGCAAAAATCTGCACAAACACCATGAAAAGAATGTAGCATCTCCTTGCTTCAGGTTCAGTGGAGTGATTTCCAGAATCATGAACTGAGGCTAGGGAGGGATAATCTGATTTGCTAYCTGTTAGGCTCTCCTATGCCTCAAGAAAAGCCACTGAAACTGGCCAATCCCCTGGTATTTCTGCAGTAASAATAAAGTTTGCTTCTACATCAACAAGCATTTCTACCTTGGAACTCTCCATCTCTAGGCTAAATTGTTCCAGTATTGAATGATTTTTCTTTTAATGTATGTTGTTTCTAGTTTGAATTTCTCCCATCATTAGATGCTGTTTTACTCTCTTTAAAAAGATTAAAGAGCTACCTATTAAAAATGTGTCCAGGTGTAAGCACTTGAAGGTCGTTTTTAAACCCACTTTGCTTTAATAATTAGGCAGAGCTCAGGACTACTGGTATAAAATTAATTTCCAGATGTCAGATAATTCTGCTGTTGCTCTTGAACTTTTCTGGTATTTTTCCCAGTGTTCATTCTGACGTGGGTCAGAGCGCTCCAATAATGTCACTAATACCATAATACCATAGGTAAAGATATTCCTGTGTTGCCTCCCCACCCC